GCGCTATTCACTAACAAAAGCCTGATACAACAATCTGTTCGTTTCAAATTTATACCACGTTAACGATAAGGTTTTATAGATATAAAATGTAGTGAGTTAATGATATTATAATGGTTTTTATAGAAAAACTTAGCGTGGAAGTTATCGTGTTTTAAAAACAATTATAACCTCGGGTTCTAGAATAAGATCTTACTGTAAAGTGGCATTACATTAATAGCAGGGGAAGAGGGGTCAATCCCTCTTATAGCAGGGACATCAGGTCTTTTGCAGCAAGGAATGACGTACTGTCATTCTTTCTTACAATAGGCAATGACGTCACTCTCTCTTACAATAAGGAATCACGTCATTCTTTCTTATAACAGAGAATGACGTCACTCTCTCTTAGAATAAGGTATCTCAACAACCTTTGCTATACGAACGACTTCACTCTCTCTTATAATGAAGAATGACGTCACTCTCTCTTACAATAAGGAATCACGTCATTCTTTCTTATAACAGAGAATGACGTCACTCTCTCTTAGAATAAGGAATCTCAACAACCTTTGCTATACGAACGACTTCACTCTCTCTTATAATGAAGAATGACGTCACTCTCTCTTAGAATAATGAATGACGTCAATCTCTAACAATAATAAATGACGTCAAACTCCCTTACAGCAGGGAATGTGATCACGAGGGGGGAGGGTTATCCAATCCTTCTCTATTCCAACACTTCCACAAATTGGTTCCTTGATTCAATTTTAGCACCAAGGTAATCATTAGCAAAACATATCACGTGACTTGAATTACTCCACATGTAATGCGCGTGTAAGCTGTCACCTCAGAACGCTGTCAACGTTTATCTGACCCAGTTTTAGCTGTAATAACGAATACATTTCATTCTAAGATTGAAATTCTATATTACAAAACGCGTTTTTTTCCCGCTAAACATAAAAACATGACCTGCAATTACAATTAAAAAACACAAAGCTAATCGGCAGCGTTAACTGGGAGTTGAGCTAAAGTAACTTGTATTTCCTGAAAACAATTTCTTTTTTTTTTTAAATTCGACGAGTTTTGTTTCAAAAGATAACTTGACGCTTTATAATGAACATAAATATAACGAAAGCTGGTCTGCGATAGTACAACAATTCTTATCTTCTTGTTGGAAGGGATTTCTTTCAACACAATTTAGTATTACCTGTCAATGTAGGTTCTTGACTCCGATTTCAGTCTGCTTTTCTTTTTGGATTTGCTTCTATAGCCTTTGTTAAACCAAGAACTACAAGGCAGGAGTTGTCTGTCCCAGTGATAGAGCCTCTTCTGCACGGGGGTTCGAACTCAAGACTTTTCGGTTGAGCAACCATGAGCTTTACCGACTCGACGGCGGCAATAAATAAATTACAATAATTTTAGAACAAAAAAAAAACAACTAAGAAAACTGTATTCACAGAGAATTAATAATAAATAAAGCTCTAAATCATAAAAATAAACAAAGAAACTAAAGAAATTATTTTGGTAAGGAAACTGAGATGGATTGAGAAGAAGAGGACGCATGGTTCACAAAGACACACCATCTCTTCATATGGTGGAAGAAGAGGGGGACGAATGGGTCTCTGAAGACGAAAAGTAAAGGGTGAAATGTAGACAGCATATAACAACTGGGGATGATAGGGTAAGGTTTCTTTCAGACATTTTTATCCGGTGCCACATTTGAAACGTCCATAGGCACACTTGCAATGTTCCTGGAGGGGTTTAAGGGTGGGGGTGGCAGACAGTGTGTTGAAAATATATTTTCCATTTGACTTATATATATATATATATATATATATATATATATATATATATATATATATATATATATATATATATATATATATATATATCGTCCAGGGGAAGGGACAAGTTGGCGTTCTATGTAGGGAGATAGAGGGGAGGGGAATAAAGCGACTTAGACAGAAGATAGGACACAAAAGAAGGGCTGAAAACTTAGTTGCAGCCCTTTAAGACAAAGGGTTGGTTTCATAAATGGCAATTATGAATAAAATAATATAAAGATATAAATTTGTTTTTAATATTCCGATGTAGAATATAAAATATGCCCTCCCCTTTCTTAACCAGAGTTTCTTCCATCATCTCTTCGGGGGAAAATATATACTTTTAACAGTGACCGTCCCCCCGGAAATTTGAGTCCGCCCCCCCCCCCCCAGAAAATTTCAAGTGTTTTCCCGGAGAAAAAAGTCTGGGAGAAACACTGTACTTAATACTTGTAGATTTGCAGAACTTACATGCACAGGACGATCCAGATACTTGGATTTAAATAACCTATTTGAACCCGAAAAGATAAAAATTTGGATAAAAACACAACCATTTGATAAAAATCTGGACTGTTAAATGAGTAGGCCAGAATCTATGGCGTCTAGTTATAAAAACAAGCGGTTCGAAATATGAAGCGGCAATCGGTTTTGTTTTTAATGTAAATATTAATCAAACCCAATCGAAAACAAAACTAATATAAAAAAAATAACTGGAGCGAAAACAATTTAATTTTTAAAATTGTTAATTAAATATTTTATCTTTGAAAGGTTTGAGTATTGTCGGGTTTAAAATCAAGCGAGATGCGGTTTCAGAATTGCGGTATTTCGAAAGACAAAATTAATTAGGAATTTAAATAAGCGAAAAGATTTTTTAAAAATAATTGAAATGAGTGTAATTTCAGTGTTTCGTCTCCAGTACGATTTGAAGTCCAAAGGGAATTAATCAAGGACAGCAGTGATGACGAAATAACAAAATTAAGTGGTGTCTCACTTATAAATTTTGATCAAGGAAAAATCGAATGTTGTATATATTGTAAAATTTATAAATATATATAAAGTACATTATAAATTGTTGCTAATGACTGCGAGCCTAGCTGTGAAATTAGGATTTAGGCTCATCCATTTTTAAAATCATGCTAATTGACGATTTTTACCTCCCATCGTCATAAAAAATAAATTCCCAACCAAAAAAAATGACGTTACACTACAACCTCATAAACATTGCAGCTCATGTTGTTTAAAACATTGATTTAATTGTAACTTATTTTCTTATCTCGGTCAACATACTATTATAGTTTACAGTCATTCAAAAAACGCGAAACAACGGTTCCAATTCCGTTACTAAATAAGGCTACTTTTTAAAACGCAAAAGTGTTTTGTCAAACGTTATGACCCCGATTCTCTCTTTCTTCACACATCGTCAAGAAATTCCGAACTCCCTCTCGGATTTTAGTGTTACTTCTTTTTGGACGACCAATTAGGCGGCACATGTATATGTATACATACATATATATATATATATATATATATATATATATATATATATATATATATATATATATATATATATGTATATATATATATATGTATATATATATATCTTGTGATATTGAAACGATCGTGTACTGGTTCCAACACACGGTCAGCCTAACCGATACATTGTGCTTGCCATTAGGCTGATTTTAATAAGCAGACTATCATAATAGTATGCGACTTCATTGTCGAGTAGTAGTAGAGCGGATGGTATCAAGCTCAATGTACTAGACACGAGTCAGCGATTAACATTCTCTCGGCATAGTCCAGACCACTCGAGTTTTTTTTTTTTCTATACACCTGGATTAAATATACGTAGACTCGTTTTTACCAACAGACCCTTAGGCTAGGGCGGGAAATTTAAATGTATTCTTCATTAATTATGTTCGTAACTATTATTTGGCGGTGTGTGGACAAAGAGATAATTGTCTGCCTCTGTAATTGACTTTGTTTCTTTTAGACTTCTCATGTGAAAAGAGAGGGGGGGGGGGGGGGGGGGCGGCTACGATCACAACCTTAAAAAAATATTTTTATAATTTATTTTTAAAATATCTGATTTAGCCAGTGTCCACCCCCCCCCCCCTTCTGTTTTTGTTAGAAGTCCCTCCCTCTGGAAATTTCATGTACCGCCCCACCCACCCTTTTATCCACCCCCCTCGGAGAAAAAAATACCCAGCTCCCCACCCCCGTGTCTACGCCACAGAACTGACCCTGCCAAGTTCACTGTGTCACGGACTAAAGTTGCCTAACGTTAACTGATGACGGGCTGGCGTTGATAAAGGGAGGAAACAAACAACCGTATTGCGTCACAGTTATAACAAATAACAGCGGTGGTTTTTACAAGAAGAAATTATATCCTGATTTTTTTAATTAAACGAATCACGTTTCATGGGTTTGTCGCTTTCTGGTTTAATTAATTCATGAAATTAAGTTTCAAATTAAAAAAAAAAAAAAAAAAAAAAAAAAACCCAATACGGAAGACTTTATTTTGGGTTCATAAATATTTAATTGTTGGTTTAAAATAATTCCAAATTTAAAGGTTGAAATTGAAAACAGGTATACGTTTCGCTGTCCTGAAGCTCGGTTTATGTAAACATTTTGTAGATGTTACCCCCTTAGCCCATAACAAGTTTCCCAAATTTTACTTAACTGGCTATTGTATATGAAGTCCACAGGTGTACTAGATGATGCTCATGGTGATACGTTTTAAACCTAGCAAAGCTTACGTTCTTTTCATACTTAAACAAACAAAGGATTATATTATTCAGTAAGGTGCTGATTTATCCTCGTGTTTAAACAGTTTTATGTTTCAGTGACAAGCAACACATTGCTTAATTTTATGATAAAAATCTTTAAATGATTGGACTTACAATGGAAAAAATACGTAACACATGACTAATTTAGGATACAAATCTTAAATTGATTTGATCTACAATGGAGACCATATTTAAAAGTGAAATGAATGCTCAAGATGTTACAAGTTTTATTTTAGAGAACATAAACTGGTTTAATTAATTGCTTACGCTTACTGTCAAGTTCAGCTTTAAATTAAAAAAAAATCATCATAACCTGATTTGCGATATCTTTATCAAGATTAGTGTTGTTCAGATGTTGTAGCTATAAAATATATCTTATACCATTCACAATTTGCTGTTTTTTATCTTTGTCCAGCATTTAGGTAAACAATGCCTTGGCGCGGCAGCTACACCACTACTTTTCTTCTACTTGTTTGTTCCCACGTTACGATCGCCATCTTTATGGTAGGCCAACAGGGTCAGATGTCATCAAAATCCTACTCTGATGTTCAAAAAGAGGGCCACGGTAACGTGGGGGAAGATGAGCTCTCATCAAGTGAAGGAGATGGGGAGTTGGACTCTGCTGAAATTGAAGAATGGCGGAAACGAATTAAAATGTACGGAGCTTGGCTTGATGAGTTAAATGCTCAGTATATGAAAAGCAAACCAAAGTTATTTTCTAGGTTATCAAGAGGTAGACTCGGTCGGATGCCTTTGGCGTATGGCAAAAGAAGTAGCATGATGGTTGATTCGCCAGAGTTTCAGCGCGTCGTTAGAAACAAGCTGAACAGGATGCCGTTAACTTTTGGGAAAAGATGGCAAAACGGTGAACCATACTTAGATGATATTATCTCTAGGCTGATAACGAACAATGGTGCATTATCACGTCAGGTTATTTCTAAATTGGAAAACACAAATGAAAATTTAAACACACATTTAGAAACTCCTGAAGAACCTTTTTCAAGATACGCTAGGGCTAGGCTTACACGAATGCCTTTAACGTTTGGTAAGAGAAGCTTTGATAATTTCTACAGAGAAGTTAGATCAAGAATGAACCGTATGCCACTAACCTATGGGAAGAGATCTGAAATTAGACCTAGCGACGACTTTGAAGAAAACGACCACACGTCCCTCAATATTTTAGCAGAAGAACGTGCCAATAATCCAAACTCAGATGAGTATCAGATGTATTTAGACAATCTAAACCAACAACTTCAAGAACCAGTCACATTTAACGATAGACAAGAACAAGACGAAAATGAAAACACGTTGGTTAACTCTATGTCTCCTTATGAACCCTTGATCAGAGTTCGGAGGTCAAGGCTGGCGCGAATGCCGGCTGCCTTCGGGAAACGAGACCGCACGGCCTTCCCCACGCCATCATACAACTACCCCGAAACCACCAACGACTTAACTGCTGAAAAACTCCTCGTAGAGACAAGGTCAAGGATGCACCGTATGCCCATGGCTTTTGGCAAAAGGCACCGCACGGCCCCCGTCTACGCCAAGCGTTATAGACTAGACCGCATGCCCATGAGTTTCGGCAAAAGGACAGCTCCAGATAACAGCGACACGGCCGACTCTGGAATTAGATTTGGAAGCTTCACTGATGATGTTGACTTAGACAGGTGAGTGCTCTACATACGCCTTGTTGGTAGTCGTATATTCCACATAAAACATGAATATGTAGACCTGTATGTCTGTTAGAGCGTTGGACATCTATTTATGTTTACCCTCGAAAAAAGCAATCCCACCCACCTACCCCCGCCCTATCGGCTGAACTTCAAAAGAACATTTGCGACATACTTTACACAACACACTTACACACTTATACACACACACATACACACACTCATACACACACATAATACATATATATATATATATATATATATATATATATATATATATATATATATATATATATATATATATGTATATATATATATATATATATTCAATTTAATGACCTTAAAAGAAGCAGGAAATTTACCAAGTTGTATGAAGACCTGTCGTCTTTATCGAACGCAAGTACCTCTGTCAACAGCCTGTTTTATCAATGTAGACAGATAGGCAAACAATGTAACCTTTAGCGGCGGTCATTGGGATCGATGCTCTAATATTGATACAAAGGGTGACAGCGATCTGTTGAATCTTCACAACTACCTGGGATCGATGCATCAAAAAAACACCTCGTCACGCACTGTGTGGTTGTCGTGTTTTGATAACAGAAATAGTTTTATTGAGTTGTGGTTTGAGAAGAAACAAGTCTGAAATGTGAATTTGAGACAAAACAATTATGTGCCTATTTGAAGAGCTTTGCGTTTGGCTGTTAGCTGAAGGTCTTGAGTTCGAATCTCGCTTCGGACTTGTGACTGTAGAAAGTCTTTGAGTCCACTCAGCTCTGATGAATACCTGATCCATTGGGGAAAGTTACTTGTGGAATAGCCGCGAAATTATAATCAGTAAACATATACTTAGAATAACACTTTTCACAAGTGGGGAATAGGCATACAATACGTAAATCTTCTTGTGGAACTGTTAAAGAAGAAGAGTTACATTGTTTCTTTAATAATGTTAGGGAGTTTGTGGAGGCGAAGTAATGACTATAATTTTTTTTTATTATAATGGTATTAACAGTAGGTCCAGAAGTCTTTTTTTAAAATGACCATTATTTAAAACAAAATGTCAACATTTACACATTTCAATACCAATAATATAGTAGTAAAATAGCATTTGAAAATGTAGAATAAGGAAATAATGTTTGGAAAAAAAAATCGTAGTTAAGAATAAGAAAAGAATGAGAAATGCCGCTCTGAATCAGCTTAGTATTTCATGAATTAGATTCTTTTAGTTTAGTTTTGAATACAGTGTCGTTTAAAGAAAGTTGTATTCTGTTAGGAAGACTGATCCAAAAATTGGCACCAGAGTAGACGAAGCTATGTTTCAGGAGACGTTAGTGCTGGCATTATAATTTAGCGGGATTTTATCTGTCTAAACAGGATTAGTCTGTATGTTTTAAGTGTTGTATACTGCAAGCTATATTGATATGGCAAGCATTTGTTTGGTAGGAAATGTTAAACCCACGATGTAATGTATTACTACGCCGCTCTTCCTTGTGTAATAGTTTATTTTTCTAGATATCACTCCCATCTTCCCTCCCCCCTCCCTAAGAAGTTTTTTTTAAAATAAAAAACCGCAAGTGCGAAAGATAGCAAAAAAATATGTTAATGTCGTTTGGTAAAACTATTTAACCATTGTACAGCAATTTTATGTATCTCTAGGCCGCCGTTGCCTGTGAAACAATTTTATGTTTCTAGATATCTATCTCATCCCACCCCTCGTACATTCTAAAACTTGTTTTTTCCCATTAAAAAGGCAAGTAAGAAAGACTACCAATAGAGATATGTAAATGTTGTTTGGTAGAACTATTTAACCTTCGTACAGCGATGTAATGTATCACTACGCCGATGTTGCCTGTGTAAAAATTTATGTTTCTAGATATCTCTCCCATCTCCACCCCCCCCCCTCCTACGCCCTGAAACATGTTTTTCCCCATCAAAAAAACCGCAAGTGAGAAAGACAGCTTAGCTAGAACGATAACTCGACATTAACAATCACGCACACATTGGCGTCATTAGAACGTGGCTACAGCACGCGACGAGGGAGCTCAAACGACGACCTGTGGAGACTTGCCAATGATGGGTTAATTTTTATGGTCGTAAGGGAAAACGTTTGTAGGCTTGAGTTTTGATAAGTGTTTATTGGTCAGTGGCGTAGGCAAGGGGGGTGTTGGGGGGGGGGTTATAACCCCTCCCATGGACCCCTATATATATATATATATATATATATATATATATATAAAATAAATAAATAAATCATATATATATATATATATATGTATAAATAAATAAATAAATAAATAAATAAATAAATAAATAAATAAATAAATAAATAAATATATATATATATATATATATATATATATATATATATATATATATATATATATATATATATATATATATATATAGGATTGTATACGTATGGAAACATTTTTGAACCCCTCCTATGACCAATTCCTGGCTACGCCACTGGTGTTGGTTTTAGGTGTAGTAAACATTTGTAGGGTTACGACAGGTAAATATTTATTGTCCCTATCTTATGTATGAAAACAGTTCTAGTCACCAAGTCTAGTGAATTGGACGGCGTGGCCTAGCGTTAAAGAGCTAGACAGATAACCCACTAACCCGAGAGTGTCGAGTTCAAATCCGGGTTCAAATCGATGGAGCGTTCCTGAGTTCATCCAGCTCTGATGGGTACCTAACGTATGTTACGGAAAAACAAGCAGCTAGGCGTTTCTGACCACACTATCCCTTCATATGCCGAGGTCTCTGAAGCAGATTAACTCTACTTCATCTGCACCATGTGTCTTTGAGCACCAACAGGAAATGATGACGAAGTCTTGTAAACATTTATAGTCCCTAATATTATGAAAATTGTGTACTCCGCAAGTCTAGTAAACCTTTTTTTTAAACATTTTTAGTCCCCAAGTCTATGAGGTAAACATGTATGATCCTTAAATTTAGTAAAATTATGCAGGCCTAAAGGCTGGTAAGCTTTTGTTGTCCTTATGTTCGATAACTATTTTTAGTTTAAATGGTATACATTTTTAGTTCCTAAATTTAGTAAAATTGTGTGGGCACAAAGTCTGGTAAACTTTATTGATATCCCTACGTTTAGTATACATTTGTAGGCACTAAGCTTGGTTAATATTATATGATGTATGTTTTGTAAACATTTGTAAGGCCTACGTCCGGTAACCCTTTCTAGTCCTTAAGTTTTGCAACGATTTTGTGTAATATACAAGCTTTAAATGCTCGTGCGTCTTTTTATTTTAGAGAGCTTTATCGCTTCTAGTCCATCCGCACACCTCATGATTTATTTTTACTTTGGACAAGCTATCATATTGGCTGTTTGATAAACTCTACTGCCTATTTGTATGGTTCCCAGAAAAATACGCCAACGGAATGCCGCGCCACGGAAAATGCGCAAACAGAAAAATGCTCAAATACAAAATATCCTAATATATAAAATCCCATGTGCGTACTTATCTCTCTCTCTCTCTCTCTGTTCGCAACATTTTTAGGCGATGTGACCAGTATGTTCAGCGATATACGGAGAACTTAAAGATACAGACTTTTGTTGAAAATAATATGATGGATGTTATAAATGTATAAACTAAATTTTATTTAAAGCAGTGAAATAAAAATAAGGGCATATTCGAATGTAGAAACACTAATAATTTTTCTTCTTCTTCTTTGTTCTTAATTTTAGTGTTGGAAGGAATCCCCCTCCAGCACAATTAAAGATACGTGTCAACTGGTTATGTGCCATTGAGGCCTGCTTTTCTTTTTGGATTTGCTTCCATAGTCTTTGTCCAACCAAGGTAGCAGTTGTTTGATTTTGGAGTTGTCTCTCCTAGAAGAGTGGCTGTCCCACAGCTATCGAGCCTCATCTGCTCGAGGTTTCGAACTCGAGACTTTTCGGTTTAGCAACCATGAGCTTTACCGACTCGACCACGCCAAGCCCTGCTAATAGTGTTAATAATTTGGTTTTTCTAATAGGTATTGGTAGCCTATGTTATTTTAATTGTGTCGAATTTTTAGCTATTTAGTTATTTCTTTGCTTCGTCACTAATATCGTTCAACACATTGCGTTTAGACCAATAACTTTTTTTTAATAAAATATTTTTCTCAAACAAGTAAAACATTAAAATATATAGGTCTATAATTCACGTGTAACGGGTACCGACAGCTAGTTGATACTAATACACTTTAATTTTGTCATAATTCGTGGAAAGTTTGTCATTATACTACATTGTACATGCGGTAATTATTTGCTATTGTCTATAAATATTAAATTCTAGAAAACAACAGTGCTATTGCGCAATTTTTTTTGTCTGCAGTTTGCAGTTGCGCAGTTTTTCTTTTGCGCATCTTTCCATTCACTTTTTTTTGTATACCGTTCAGGCTTCTAGGTCAGTGTGTTGAACTTGGCATTTTTTTTTTACTGTACACGATTCCATGCTTAAAAATTTACACACAATAGCATTTGGTCGTCCTGTGAATGTCTCATTGAAGCACTTAACCTGTCTTCACAATAAGTCTTATGTTGATTCGTCTCTCACCATCGTGTTTATACAGTCCAGCACCGGCACAATGCGCTGGGACCACAGCTAAACGCATGCGGCAGCAAACCTTCGAGTCTGACAGTTCCGGCATTGTGTCCGGCTTAATTACCCTTGGTCAACACTACATGGGTGTCAAGTGTTATTTGTTTTCATAGAGAAGGCTGTCATGTAGTTCAAATAAATACGACCATAGGACAATGAGCTCAGTTGTGTGTGTATGTGTGTGTGTGGGGGGGGGGGGGTGGGAAGGAGAGGGGAGAAAGGGGTGGTTATGAAGCTAAGGTGTTTAAAAAAAAGTACATTCTCAGCTATCAGAAATTTTTGTTTATAAAATAAAACGTATGAAACGTTGGTTTGCAATATAGTTTAAGGTATGTGTTTAAGTTTCAGTAAGGCATTATGTATGGGACGGAGTAGTCGATGGTAGAGCATACGACTGTTAAATCGAAAGACACGAGTTCGAATCCGGGTTCAAGTACGTAGAACGTCTCTGAGGCGACCCAGCTCTTATGGGTACACAACTAGGTGAAGTAAAGGCGGCTGGGCATAGTGCCTTCATATGCTGAGGACACTGGTGAACTGTAAATCACTTGTCTTATGGACTGTCAGGTTCGAAAAGGAACTTTACTTTTGGGCAGTATGTGGTTATTATAGGAGGGTGAATAAGAGATGCCGAGGTTAAAATATGATAAACCACGTGACAGCATGTATGTATTACCTATAAGTTATAAATAAAATCATAGATGATACTGTCCAAAAATGGGAACCTATACTCGTGAAATCAATAAATTATCGATTAACCGAATATTAATTTCAAGAAGATATGGCGGACAGATGAAGAATGATGAATAGTAACGCTAAATATTCTTGATTTTCATGCATCAAGTAAGCTTTACATTTTTTCCATACGTGCGTTTTTTAATCTTTTCAACGGAGATCATTTTCAGTCAGTCAGATTTCTGTGTACATGTTATATGATGCTGTGCTTTTGTCATTTAAGTCATATAAAATACTAGCTTCCGTTTTTGTTATTTCAAGTGATTTACCCCCCCCCCCCCCCCCACACCACCCACCTATTTACTGAACAAACCACTCTTTAGTAAATAGTAACGTATGAAGGATAAAGGTTGATTCCTGAATGGGCGAGAATATCTTGTTAGGATGCCAATATCATTTAAAATAGAAGAGTATTACCTAAGCGAAATGCCATTAATCTTCGCCTTTTGTAACCTGTTTACATAAGCAAACTTTGACGAAGATCTATGTCACATTTTCCTGAGTATAACCACATAAAAAAGAGAACACTTTAAATGCACGTATTGTGATGTTGTTATTTGTTTCTTCTGTAGATTTGAATCACAGCATAAAGAAGACACGACAAAAATGGCCTCCGACACAATTACGTCACAAACAAGGTGACATGCTGATTTTTAGGTAGGTCTAATACATCTATAGTTACATCAACAGTGTTTCTTCCAGACTTTTTTCTCGGGGGGGGGGGGGGTGGGGCACTTGAGCATTTTATATTTTCGGGAGGTACAAGTCTATAGTTTCTATATAAATTCCATTTTGTTCGGTGCGGGGGGGGGGGGGGGTAGGGTAGAGGGTGGATGCGGTAGACTTTCTTCGGAAGGTGGGAGAGGGGGGGGAAGAGACTCATGGAAAAAGCTCTTTACATCACTGGTAAAGTATTTTTAGGTAGGTGTTACATTATCATATACACATAAGTCACTTGTAAGGTAGGAAGGATGATATTGGTGGAGGGGGGGGGGGTGGATAAGCCCATGAACACCACACAATTTATACATAGACCTATTACGGAGAAATTATTTTTTTTATATAAAATGACCCCCCTCCCCCCACTCTCTCACTCTTGCACAAAAGAAATGTGCATCGTATACGAAACTGTAAATCAATAGACATATCAGAACCACATATACTAGCAACGTATACATTTTCTTTTATATTTGATTATCTACCGATCCCTCTCAACCGACCTCCTGCGAGTTAGATATAGCCTCGAAGGTCTGTTTGATAATATTGTCTTCAAAAAGCCAAGCTTTTGATTTTATTTGCTTTCATAAAGTAGCTTTTTTTTCTTCTAAAAATATCATTATATCACGCACTTTCTATAGCACATCTTAGATAGAAAATCGGTGTAACATATGAATTGCTATAAAAACAATCTATTATCATTAACTAATTGACCTATAATTATAAATCAGAATGTTTATTTACATTCGTGCAAATGTAGTTTTCTTTTAATGCTCACACTAGTTATACGCTAATTCTCAGGGTAGGAAGACCCGGTGACACCCCAGTACCCACCCTAGAATTCTAGTGTAGACGCCTATGATTATAGTTATGTTAGATTTACTACTGCACTGTGTAAAACGCGGAAAACCATAACAACTTATTTCTGTAATAATGAACAAGGAAGTTAATTAGCTCTAACAAAAGTAATCATGTTTTTCGATAAGGAAGTTTATCATTTATTCTTTATTGTCTGTTTTACAATACTGCTCTTAACTGAACCCACCCCATCCCACCCCATCCCCCTCCCCACACGTACGTACGTTTAACCCTACTTGTATTGTTATATTGTTTTTCATGTTGTATAATGTTATATCGTTTCACTACCGTGTCACTATTTCGAAATGTTTTAATGGCTAGGTTTATTTTATGCATATGTCAAGAGAGCGCGATTTTATAAGGCGATTGAGACATGGTAGGTTTAGAGGGTGGGAAGAACGTGTGTGTGGGGGGAGTGGGGCGGTTGATAAAATAATATAGTATAGGTTAGTGGGGAAGTAGTGTGTCGATAGAACGTGTGCTTGCTAACCAGATGGTCACGGGTTGATGTCACGACCAAGCTGCCATGAAGAATGAAAAGCCTGGTAGAAAAAAAAAACAACTGTCAATGTATACGTTAAATGCTTATTTCGTCACCTTGATTTTACCTAAATAGTATATTTTCGGTTGGAAAGTGGGGTTGGGGGTGGGGGCGTCATGTTCTGTTTAACACTCTTCTATTTTACACTGACAACCCAACGACCGATTCTTAAGCCTTGGTGAATTGTGTTTTGTTTTGTCCTACCAGTGGTGTTATTGATTCGGCATGGTCGAGTAGTAGAGCTCCCAACTGCTAGCCAAAATTCTCGAGTTCAGATCCCTGGCTTGAGTTTATAAAACGTCCATGATTATACTCTGATGGGTACCGAACCCACATAAGGAAACGAAGGCGGCTGGACATAATGCTAACCACAGTATCCACTTTGTATGAGAAGGTCATTAAAAACAGATTTGATTTCATCTGCTACATGTGTCTTGTGCACTTACGGGAAAGATGTTGATTATGATTACTTTTGTTTGTTAGCTTCTAGATTAACTTTATTAGTTTATTAGAGCAAATATTTTTTTACACGTCAAGTCGCATTTAAATGATGCTCTATTTTAAAGTCAAACATCGAGTACTTTTAAATGTACAGATTTTCCAAACATTTTTAGTCCCATGTCTCTGAAGGTGAATATGCGTTGGTTAAAAAATATTATTAAACAACTTTCCCATCGTTCACGTATAGACTCTAGTAGATAATCAGGAGCTTTTCCGAAAGAAAGGGTAAACTCATTTTTAAAAAAAATGTAGCTTTTAAGTTTTGATTATTGACTCCAGAGGTCCACTAGCTGTGTACACGGCTGCAACAAGAAGCCCGGGGAATTTTAAGTGGAGCCCCCTATCCCAGATTTGAATTTTGATTGTGCATTTGTCGCTCTTTAAATTCGATTTTACGCCTTGGTATGTAGGAAGGAGATGGTAAAGTGGAGAAATAACAACACATTGTTTAAAAAAAAAAAACATTAATAGGGATAATACTACAGCACCGAGATGTTTGACTAGGGTCCCACCCAGATATTTTACTAGGGTCCCACCCAGATATTTTACTAGGGGCCCACCCATATATTTTACTAGGGGCCCACCCAGATATTTTACTAGGGGCCCACCCAGATATTTTACTAGGGGCCCACCCAGATATTTTACTAGGGGCCCACCCAGATATTTTACTAGGGGCCCACCCAGATATTTTACTAGGGGCCCACCCATATATTTTACTAGGGGCCCACCCAGATATTTTCCTTGGGGGCCGCCCAGATATTCCTCTGGGGCCCACCCAGATATTTTCCTTGGGGGCCGCCCAGATATTCCTCTGGGGCCCACCGAGATGTTTGACTAGGGGCCCACCCATATATTTTTCGGGGTAACCACCGGGGTTTTTATCCGATAGACCGACGGGCCAGTCCACCCCTGATTGACCCTCTCTGTGAATGCATATCTACCTCTACAGCTCTAAGCACCTGATGCCCTATACCTGCCTTAAAAAAAATTCTTCTCCTATAAAGATCGATCTCTTATCCCTGTTATGACGTCAGTGGTGTACGTCACACGTACGGTAAAAAAAAGTCTCACGTGGGTGTTTCTCGTGGGTGGTGGAAGGGGGGAAAAACGGAAGTAGATTTTTATTTTGATCGTTGCCATTAGCGATATAATTGGTTTGCACGTGGAATCATAGGATCAATAATAATAGCTGTTATAATTAGCAAATAATTATCGTCGTTTTTAGTTTGTGTTTTGTTATTCAAAACAAATTATGTACTAACATTTATCAATAAAATGTTATATTTGCATAGAATATATAGAGACGTATAGCATCAAAATAATAATTATATTTAATAAATTTGTATAATTTATTAGCTAAATTGTTCAACTTTTTGCAAAGGCAGATGATTTATATTGTTTTATAGCTTTATGTTGGTAGAAAATATATATTTATTTATTGGTCTAGTCTCTCTAGGTTTGTATATTTATATTTACAACCCCAATCCACATTTATACTGCAAGAAACACCATGCAGGGGAGGTAAACAACGCAAAAAAAAATCAATTTCTTTCGTGGAATGTTTGATTTGATTAGACCGCCAGTTACCGCCCTTTACTGAAGTCTTATACAAGGACTGGCCTGACATTTTGCAAATCATCTCTGTCTCATACACAAACACAGGGCTCATGATTGGCTCTTACATTCAGTTGTTCAAACACGCTGGATGACAGGAGAAAAAAAAATACAACCATACAGGTTGGGAGTGTTAGTGTACATGCGAAATGTGGTGAGAGTTGTGTACTGCATTTGATGGTAAAAAAAATGTCAAGGACGATTGTGAACATTTTTTTTTAATTTTCCGATGCAATGTGATGCTAGTGTTTGTAGAGGTGAGGAAGTAGAGTTTATGTTTCCGTGATGTAAGCGTTAAAATGTTTTGATTTACGAGGCGTCACATAAACTCGAGTCATGAACCCCAATTGAGGCGTCACACAAACTCGAGTCAGATACCCAATAGAAGAGTCACTAAAGTTCGAGTCAAATATCAACATAGGCGCCACACAAACAAAGGTGTAGCGAACTATTTCTGTACCTAGGTCGAACTATCAATTTTGCACCCCTCCCCAAATTTGACCTATGTCTTGTTATTCGCGTAGGTAAAAAGGCACCCCCACCCTCTCATTTGGATAGGTCGGGACGCTTTTTACAAGTCACTTTGCCTTGTTACTTGGTGTCTCACACTTGATATATAAAATAATTAAGCAAGTCTGTAATACCAGGTAGCAGTCTATATTCTTTACTTCGACTGTATTTATTTCAGTAATGAGCTTTTTATATTGTTATCTACCGCTTTTGACGCACACTTGGGTCGGCGTCCGAAGCGGTCGCCCCAGCCGCCATCTCCTAGCTACGCCACTGCACACAAAGTCGAATAAGGTACTAGCAAGGCGTCCATAAACTAACAACATATTCAATCCAATAAATATTTCCATGACAAAAGAGTAAAACAAAAACAATTTACATTTCGCATGACTTTTTGAGATCATAACGCGGGTTTTTAAACGATAAAATTAAAAAAATATTACCATTCTTACACATATGTAAAACAGAATCAACATCAGAGACTTTGGTTGAAAGTTATGCCCCTTTCATAGGCTGAACTCTTTCATCTCCCTTGAGTATTGGACTCTATACCATGCAAATATCCTGTTAGATGGAGTAGATAGTTGGAACTTTGTGTGATCTAGATGGAATCGATGTGCGATTGATCTCTTCATCTAAGGATCATACGAGTACACATTGAATACATGCGTAAGGCGTTGGTTTAAAAGGTGGATGGTAATGAAAATGTGATTATAAATAATGGGGGTAAATAGAGTTTTAAAACAAGATTGTGGCAGGGTTGAAAATACACTGTTTAGCCTAACACGTTAGATGGAGCTATAGGGAGGCATAAAGATGTATATTTAAGCTGTGTGTCGTCTCGGTTTTGTGCAGGTACACATTACACGAGCGTGTAGACCAGTGAAGTTGTATGAAGTATTATAGGAACTAAAAT